ACGAACCACATGGAGCTCGCATCACAGGAGGCGATGGGAGACTTTAGCAAACCGCCGTTGCGCGATTCCTCCGACACAGACAGCGACATCAGCTGGTATCCGAACGCCTTTCGCAACTCACCCTATTGCTTTCAGGTAAAATTGTGCTATTTAAGACTATTCCTATCCTTCTTGTAGACCTATTATTTATATACTTTCATTCGCATAACAAGTGCGTCATTATGAATATTTAATCCAACGGACAACTTCCTATGTGCATACACAAGATCAAGACTTTAGATCGATCGTAAATCATAGAAACCGAGACGGATAAACCTATAACCATAGTATGATAGTTTTAAGTATTGATTGGTATCAACGTGTGCCAGGAGTCAGCGGACATGGACATGTCTCGCGAGTACTACGAGCCGGGCGAGGGGGAGGTGGCGTTGCAGACGGGGCTGCAGTCGGGGCTACAGACAGGGCTCGAATGCGAGTGGGGTCGGCCGCGACTCGCAAACAACCTGTTCGTGGTGACGGAGGAGACCAGCAGCCAGCTCGCTATACAGGAGGTGAAGAGCGAGGCGGGCGACGACTGGGACTGCAACGACATGGCTTCCATGTGACCTTGCTCCATTATTGTTATGTATTTTACTCTCAAATAGTAAGCATTTTGATACTGTATTTGTATCTTTGAATAAAAACAATTATTTATTAATGTAATTTTCAATTGTAGTAGCATTTAGTTAGTAAAAAGCGGAACGACTGTTCAAAATGTAATTTGATAGTGTGAGGGATGCTGAAATGATGATAAATAACAGCCATTCCAGAAAAGAAGAACATTTTCTTCGATGGCTACAGGATATTGTGTTATAAAATATATGACGCAATAACGGTGACGTAAACTCGCGTGAGCGCCGTGTAGCACAAAGCGCTCAATATTCTTTGCACGTCTTTATGCAGCGCTTTAAAATATCCCAATACAAACATAATCTAAGTGAACCAACACAATCTCAAACACGTTTAAGCTTCATAGCGGCACCGCGTACTTCTAACTAGACTTGATAGAATATATATTTTTAACAAACTTACTAAAATATTATTTGCAAACATGCAAAAATGTGGTTTTAATTACATTCACAGCTGTAAGAACCAAAGATTATTCGGAAAGACAAATATTTTATCGTGTACTTTAGTGGATAGATCTGACAGCAAACTACATAGTTTCAAAATCTGTCGCATTATGGATCAGGAAATGTACAATTAATTAATTACCATTAATTAAATTTATCAATTAACAGCATACAATTAATTATTTAAATTTAATTTAATGCAAATTGTATTGCTTTTGTAATTTCATAAATAATATTTCATTACGTGTAGTTAATTAGTTTTAAATGATAATTAAGCTCGTCATAAATTGGAACGTGACTGTTAGACCCTAGTGATTTGACTACCGAAGTATGATGAGTAGGCGACTCGCCCTAAAATTACATCGTGTAATTATGAAAATTTAAAATTATCATGTTTCTTATAACGTTACTATCACACAAGTATTGTTATAATAATACTGTAGTCCCATGGATAAGACGAAAGACGAAGGGTAAACGTAATCTATAAAATTTCCACCGTATGAATAAGTAAATCGGGTGTTTCTTTTTGGACCGATCGACCCATTTAGCCGATAAATCAGTAGGTCGATCGGTCCAACGGAAAACAGATAATAAATCCTTGATCGCCTTCTAGTGTTGCAAATATCCATGAGTGTAAAAATACAATAAATGTATGCGATCTTATGTTAATTTTTCTTTCTTCTTTCTCGTTATTGCTAAGAGATGCGAAGGACATATAGAAGGATTTATATGCACATTGTACTGACCTGCATCTGAACAGACTGGCAGTTGACGAACTC